CATAACTTCAGAAGAGATTTCGTTCAATTCATCATCTTCTTTGTTGATCTCTAGAAGCAAAGACTCTCTTTCAGATGCAGCGCGAAGATATTGAGTACTCTTGGCCTTCAGTTCAACATTTTTGGCCAGCAAAGAGAGGATGTCAGAGTGGACAACTTTCAACATCGCTTTAAAATCAGCAGAAATATTAAGCGATGGAAGTGTCAGTGCTTACGCCAACTTTGCACTTAAATGCTCAAGCTTATCCTTATGTTTGGCAGTACTAGCCTGACTGATGTCCATGTACATAAAAGATACATACTCAAATATCGACTACTTGAGGAACTTCATATCTTCCTTTGAAGAAGCAGAAGGACGACCGATTGAAGTAAGGCGAGACGTCTTGACTTGCCCCCAGGAAGTGAACAAGTCCTGGATGGAACGCACAATCTCATCAGCATCCTGCAAAGAAAAATGCCAACATTGAAGGTTTTCACTACAATAAACAAAGTGAAAATAAAAGTGAAGCAAAAGGTTACCTCATCAGCAATCTTGGGGGGTGGCATATCACCAGTTGGCTCTACCACCTGTGGCCCCACAACCTGTAGAGACTTCTTCTTGTCTGGGCGAGAAGACTCTGCCACAATAGGCAGACCCATGGAAGACTCTGCATGATTAAAGAAGCAACAAATCAGAAACTAATAGCACAAGCAAAGGTAAAACATCAAAAAATATATTACCTTCTGATTCGATGTTTGGGGGGTCGGCGCCCTAGGAAGGAGGTGGCTCGTCCATTAGTTGTGATGAAGGTTCCGGGACTGAAGGTTTCTCTTTAAGCGTAGTCCCTTCATCAGTTGGTTTGGATGAAGCAGCGCCAACAGAGGATGATGGAGCAGGAGCTGCCAACACCAAAGCCTTCAAAGGAAAGATTGAACTTTTCTGAGAAATTCAAGAAAACCATTAGCACATAGAAAGGTATGCTTGTGAGTAAACAGAATTCAATTACCTTTCTCCTGACGATGAGAGGAGTGTCATCATCATTATCATTATCATCCTCCAAAATGGGAGATGCTGAAGCTGGTCATTTGCGGCTTGGGGCACTCTTAGCTGCAGTAGGTTTGACAGGTAGAGAAGTAGAGGGACGAACATATTGTTTAGCACGAGCAGGTGAGGAAGGAATCCTAATGGACACAGGGGTGACCAAAATAGGAGAAGTGGAAGGAATGTTTGACTGATCCAGTGAATGGAAAGCACGATTGGCATCAGTTGCAAACAATCTGCGCTTCACTGATGGCCAGAGTTGTTCAAAAAAGGAGTGAACGACACGGATAGGATTGAAGAGGGCTAATGAAAAGTTACTCGTCAAAAGAATATTGCGAGCATCTATAGTTTGTGCCTCTGCCTTATTAATGGTGTGAAAGCGGTCTATCAAATTTTTTGAATAACAAGGGGGAACAGGCTAAGTTTGGCCAAAACCCCAACTTTGACATTGGTTTTAGTTAAAATATCATGGAACAACTTCCTCCCAGTCAAAAACTGAACCCAAACGAGCAGAGAGGGGCTCGCACTGTCTAGAGTGGATGGAGGTTGCACAAAATATGGAGTTAAATGAACAGGAAAGGGAAAGAAGGAAGGAATTGAATTTAAAGTCTAAAAGAATGAAAAATGTCTCTTCTAGACATATTTACAGGGCTCAATGGGTCAATGGCTAGCCCATAACAGCTAGTAGAACAAAGGGACATGGATAGAGCACCAAGTGATGGAAAATAAGCTCTCAACCATAGTTGAGTAAACCAAAGAGGCCCACTGCCAGTGGGAGATGCACCATTTTTCAATTGAAATTGAAGAGAAACCATGCCTCTATAGAGGGCAGCCAAAAAGAAGGAACACAAATTCAAAGGCCTACCACGTGCCAATTCATGCGCTATGGGTAAATAGCTTATAGAAGGCTTCATACTGGGCGCACACAAAATATATTTACAAAGCCAAATCTAAAGAAAGGCCACACGCTCAGCGTGGGAAGGCTCAGCATTTGAGTGATTATAACAGCTTTGCAGGCTTGAATAGGACTCGGTGAGTTTTTTGTCAAATTTTGGAACAACACCGGAAATCAAAATACCAGGGAAAATGGTGTCGCCCAAAGGTGGAAGATTTATCAGGGCCCCAACATCCCTTAAAGTAATAGACATGGGACCAAGAGGGAAAACAAAAGTATTATATTCAGAAGACCAAAAATTTAAAGCAATAGAAAAAAGTGCTGGGTTAAAAATTAGGGGTTGAAGAGAGATTTCTAATAAATCAGAAATCCTAGCACGATCAAAAATTGCCTTGATAGGACCATGGCCCAAAGGCGAGCATGCCATCTATGGAAAACAATATCAGACTTAGGCCAAGTGCGAATACCTTTTTTGCGAATCGGCCTTAGCAGCAAAGAGTTCAGGAATGGAGGGCCTTAAGTACAAGGGAACAGCTGGCTCACCGCCACTTGTTCGACGGCTTCGGCGTTGTTGAATGAAGGACCCAGATAGAATTCATTAAGTTCGACATTGGCTGGTGCAAGGAAGTTTGGATTTACATATGGCCGAGTGAGGATTTTCTGGAAATCTTCGAAGCTAAAAGAGTCGTCAAATTGGGTTTGTGGAGCAGCCATTGGGAACGAAATACAGTTTTGTTAAAGTTTGTTTGAGAAAGAAAAGTAAGAAGATGAACAGCGGTATGGCGAGAAAGAAGCGCGAAAAAATGAGGCATGATTTAGTGGTACAAGGAAATGGCATGTCTTTGGGGTTTATAAGGGTTTGTAGCGTCGCACTTTTTCAGGCTATGGAAGGAAATAATGATTGAAATTCTTGGGAATTTCAAATGTTGTTGGGAAACAGAAAGTAAATATGGCAAAGATTAATAATTGGTATTAATTCTGCCATATTTTGGGGGGGGGGGGTAATTGTTGACACATTAAATGTGCAGCCCAAATCGAATAGCCCAAAGAATGAAGCCCAATTGGGGAATTCCCAAATCAAATAGGGAAAAGAATGAATACCAACTGGGCAATTCAGGATAAAGGCCCAGATAGAGTTATTAATGAGTGCAATGGAAGCCTACGAACACGGTAATATCATCGCCCAAGCTTGCAAGACGCCCAAGATCTGAGCGAATGAAGTGCCTTACAGTCACCCATAGCTATGACCCTGTTCTCGCCCAAACCTTCGAATCGCCCAGGATCTTAGCAAACATAAGATGTTATGGTTATCCAGAAGTGCAGTTATTGAGTAATCTTATCACGTTCCACGATTCAAGGAGTTCAGTTGACGACGGTTGAACGACAAAAAGTAGTGGCGGCAGTTAGAGATGGCAGTTTCACGACAAGTTAGCCACCATAAAGTAAGTGGGTAGTTATAAAGTAATCAAGCAATTTCTAAGCGGTTGATCACAAAAAAATCATTAAGGGAATATAAAAGGAAGAGAAAACATAGAGCAAAGAGAACCCGAATCGAACACTCTCAAACAGAGAATATGTAATTTCAATTTTCTTAGTTTAAACTTAAACATTTTTTTCAGTACTCGTGTGCTTGCACCCCTTGGAGGTATTCTGTTTAGTTCAAATTGTAAATTATCGCCAATAAAACACTCATTTTTGGGACTTTGTCTCAAGAGGTTTGTTCCTTACACAATCGTCTGATCCCTTTTTAATTGTTAGCGACTACCCGCGCGAAATAGTATGTTAAGAGAAATTCTATTTGGAATGCTAGTATAGAACAATATTCAAGTTTACTTAGTAAATTCTACTTGAAGTTCTATTTGAAACCCCTATTGAGAGTTCAAATTTGTATTGAATTTGAAGATGTTGAAATTATAAAATGAAGAGTTTTCTTGCCGCATTCTCGCTAGCCTGGGGCAAGCTGGGCACTCGAGTGCCAAAAATATAGAAGTTGGTGCCCACCTAACGCTAGCATATAGCTCGAGCGCCAAGGTGCCGCTTGTCACTCGCTGGTCCAAGCCCCTTTTTCGCATTTTGACGAGTTTTATTGAATTCTACTTTAACTACAATTTTACTATTAGGATTTGGAAGTCCCTTATTTATTTCCTATATATAGTTAATTTTTCATTATGATTTAGACTAAGTTAGAAACATTATAAATACAAATCTTCATATTGTTTCTCCATATTATAATAAAATCTCATTTACTATGCAAATGACATTGTTCTTGTGTCTTTGAGATCTTTACTTCATGTCGTGGCTATAATCTCGTATTTACTCCAACAAAGTAGTATTGGATTAACTTTTGATTTTTGTTCTAACCTTGTTCAGGCTTACGCTGCATCGGTTGTGCTTCAAAATTTAACTTGGCTTTAATGGGAAAAATGGCCGGTGTTGAGGAAGGCATAGTTTCCTACACAAAATAATATAAATATTATAATATAAGGTCAAGTAATTTTTTACGCCACTATATATAGGTCGCTTTTTAATAAATAATGTAGGTGAAATAAAATATAGATTTAGGATTTTGGTTTGACCTGACCTCTTGTTGAAATTGTAATAAAATTAAATTTGTCACATGAATTAAAATGTAAAATCTAAATAACTATAGTCCGTGTCTAGTCACACTAGCGTTAAATCAATAAAATCGAATTTTAAATGGACCTTATTAAACCGAATAGCCTTTTTTCTGTAACTGGAGGGCCATCTTTTATTTAAATTAATAACACAAGTCCGCGAAAGTCACCTAGCGTATTCATTATTCAACAATGACCGTCCACACAATATATTAATGCTTAATTAGGAAAAGTATATTTAAACCGTGAAAAATATGTGCCCCAGAAAATTTTAGTTGTGTGAAAGAACAAAAAAAAGTCATCTGTCTCTCTCTCTCTCTTTCTCTCTCTCTAAAATATCTATAAATCCCAGATTCCCAATCCAAATTCCATATAAAATGCAGCAGCAATATAGCATTATTTCCCAAGAAAATATATTCAATACATATAAGATGATTTAAGAGAGGCTGCAGCCAAAATCAATTGTAATAATGAAATACATTATTCTGATTGCACGCTTGCAGCAGTGGGCATGGGATTACCTTTTATTCCAACCCTTCTTTCAGCATCGTGATATTGAGTTATCAGACTATGTTGATGACCTTACTGTAACGTGTTATGAAAATAATAATAATGCTGAGTTTGGGGATTCATCAGTGGAGTGTGCTGTTTGCTTATGCAGAATTGGTGAAGGGGATGAGATTAAACAGCTGAGATGCAACCATCTGTATCACAGAGTTTGCTTGGATAGGTGGGTAGGTTATGGGCACAGAACATGTCCACTCTGCCGGTATAACCTAAAGCCGCCACCACTACTGGCTGACCTCCACCATGCAGAAGCGGAGGTGATACTTATTAACTTCTGCGCCACCAGATCAAGGGACCACCGCCGTACGTGGTGGCTGCGCTAGGTCTAGTATGTAACATTACAGCTAAATGCAGTTAACGTTGTTTTTAATATTAACGATGATATCTTGTATTCATATATTAGAGTTGGCAATGAAGTTCACACTTCTCCACAATTAGTTATCATTAAAAAAATAAGAAAAAAGAAATTGTGCTGCATTTCATTAAATGATAGATGTAATTTAATGAGTTTCCTACATTTAATTGAACTGTTCATGTAATGACACGTATATTGTCACTAGACCATGCTCAATCATTAATGGTAATTATAACATTATTCTAAAAAATTTGAAACTGATCACAAAGTTAGCTCACTGTTATTTAGATTGACCAAGCTGTGTGTACAGATTATCAATTCACAGAATTCATGTAGAACTCTCATAACAAGGGGTGGGTGATTTTTGAACATTTTTTTTATCAACACATGGCGTCCATTCATGTGAGTTTTCTGGATGAATTCTGTGACATAGTATTCTGTACAATGGGCTTTAACCTATTTGGATTGATATACAATACTCGCCGTGATGATCAACATTATGAATATAAAAATCTGCCATTAATGCATGACTAATGATCCGTCAAAAGTTGTAATCCAATCTTCATGAATATCAATATAAAAGTAAGAAAGTTTTGATCTGATATCTTGTCAATATTAATTAATCTCGATATTTTATCAACATTAGTTAGTCATAACTTAAATGAAACTAAAAAGCATACCTATTTGTTTCACAAAGGTTTAATCAGAATGATAAGTCAGTGGATCTATAGGTATATCAGTATGTACAGTGGTCTCATATGAAGGGTGTGTTATCAATTTAGATCTAATCAATTTTATGAATTACTCTTGAAGGTTCACATCACACTGGTGCTAGTTGATGAGAGTTACTTCGAAAACAAAAGTTAAAAATAGTGAATCATGCTATTTAGCACCAATTTAGATGGTCACTTTTGATATGTTCAATTAAATAAATCACGTGACAATATGTTTGAATGGACCAATTATTTAATGTCATGTAGTTATCATATAGACTGGTGCTTGGCACCTGGGGTGATGAATAGGATCATTCAAAAAAGGTAAAGCTAAAATTCATTTGGAGTATTCTCTCAATTCCAATAATGCAATCAGAACAAATATGAGTTGGCGATTAAAAGATTTATATATAGTCCCCATTTCAGCGTCAATGACAAAGGATTAGGCTCTGGCACTAGCATTATTGTGTTCACATTCAAAGATTGGGTAGAAATCAGAACAGAAGCTTCTCATTTCAAAAGATAACCAGAACCAGACAACCTTTCGGTTACAATATACACTACACTGTATAAAGATTAGCTCAATATGGCGTCTGTGTTGCTAATGCATATAGATTATTTTTTTATCTAGTTAGTCAATACTTCCGTAACAATTCGTTATTAAATTAACTCATCCAAATATTTGGATTTAGAGTTAATTATTTATTACTTGTAATTGAAATGATTAATAGGAGGAACAACTATATTGTACGTGTACTTGTAACTTTGTAAGTAAAAAATACTAATATAAAAGAGTTATTTATTCCTAAAAATATAATTATAATTATAAAAAAAATAAAAAATTCACCTACAAGTTTCACTCGAATGTAAAAAATGAAAAATCTTATAGATAAAAATACTAATTTTTTTTTTTTTTTTTTTTTTTTTTTTTTTTTTTTTTTTTTCTAAAATTAA